GGGCTTGTCAATATTTTATTTTTTTCTACGTAGTAAACTGAGACTTTAGCGGCACAAGGTTGTTTTAATTAATTAGATTTTTATTTAATAAATTCTAGCTCCACCTTTTGATGATCAAAAATGTTTTAATATTCGTTTCCATTAGAAGAATGTCTTGAAATACTAGTATACCTGTCTGTGTAATACTAATATCCATAAGATACGTAATTTTATTAAAAATGATTTATTTTGTTGAGATTTATTACACAGTTTGACGGGAGTCTACCTAACCTGTTCCTACCGAAACCTGATTTTCCAGAGTCCTATAATTACGTCGAAAAAGATATAATGCATACGGCAATACACTTTAGATTAGATAACCTGTAAAGTCAATTTCCAGACGAATACGCTTTCATTACAATCTCGATTCTGGCAAACTATAATGCGAAATCCGTACGATATTTGGTGCTTTTTGAGATCTTATAGTCAGAAACATTTAATATATTATTTTCTAAAAACGAACGCTGAACGCTCGAAGTTAACAAGTTGCTGTCTCGGCCATTAGTGCCTAGTCCGCGCGGATAGATGACCTATCAGTGGTAGATTATATGCAGGTCAAGCGGCTTGAACATCTGCGGGTTCGGGGTAACGAGAGACGCAGAGAAAGTTTGGCGTTGAGGCCTGCGCCCGAAAATTTGGGGCTCCGATGTTGCCAATTTGTCTGCGAGCTCTTCTGCCCCGTTTTTAAAGCAATCGTCGCGTTTTTGAATAAAAATCTCCAAATTCCAAGGATTGAGTTTTTCCTCTAGATATTTTTGTCTCGTTCCCTCAATCCCTCTAAATAACCCCAAACATATGCGCTTTTTTTGCCAGAACCCTCATCATCTGTCGGAACCCGCAATCGACCGGAGATTGTCCGTTTTTAGGCCGGAATTGCGTGAGATGATAAAGCGGAAACGGGCATCCGCTACGGCTGGGGAGGGGAATTGGCCCGCAGAATATGTCGCTGAGACGATGTTTGTTCCCCAAAATGGAAGGTGGTGATGACGAATATTTCGGGTCTCAAACAGAAAGAGACACACAACTCTATTCGAATCTTCCAATCTTCGCCCTGTCACTTCCAGGCTAGAGCTCTTTCCCATATAAGCCGTAAAAACCTATTAGCGTCAACGGCCATATTTTCGATTCTCCCCAAGTTACATGGCTAGATTTTTTCAGAATTTCTCACTTACCAACCAGTTAGCAAAAAGTCAATAAAATCTTTGATGTCCTGGGCAAATTTTCGTCAGAAGCCGGCCTTTCCGTTCGAATTTCAGGCATCCACTCTTCTCTCCCTCTTTCCTACAGTCCATTCCATTTGTTTCCCACGATCAAAGCTGCGCATAAAAACGCTGGAAATGGCAACACGTCGTTTATTTCTATTCCTTGCTCTAAAAACTTCTAAACCGGTTCTCTCTACCCATTTTCTAAACATGACAACTTCGGGGCTTCCCGAAAAAGCTATCAAAGTTCTAGGTCAGTGGATTTCGTGTTTTATTTCTGCAGCCGATCTCATTTTTGGCGCTGCTGACATCGAATCTTACTAGTTAGCCTATTTCAAAATCGAAAACCAAGTTTTCGGTGGATTGAGTTTTCGAAACTTGTGAAGGATTGAGTTTCCTGGATGGAGGATTGAGTCTTTTCGTTTTCCACTCGTGGCACAGTAATTTCATGAGTCTCGTTTCTTGCATATTATTTTCTGACTTATGTTTCGCGTTTTGCACCTATAAAGTATGGCATAAGCATAACTTTTAAGGATTGAGCTGTTCGCCGGTGTTCACCTCTAGAACTTCAAATTTGAGCCAGGATCATCCATCCGCGGTCCTCGCCTTCCTTTCTTTCTATTTTCTGACTTATGCTTCTCGTCTTATACAATGACAATATAGGATCGACATTTTGGCTCTGTACCGATAGCACGGGGCAATGACAACAGAACGGGGCATTGGCAACAGAACGGGGCAATGACAGCAGAACGGGGCAAAGCCAGCAGAACGTGGCAATGACAGCAGAACGGGGCATAGCCAGCAGAACGGGGCATTGCCAAGTCCCCGCGGCCGGCGGCCAGCAGAACGGGGCATTGGTTTGGCCAGGGGGGCCGGCGGCCAGCAGAACGGGGCATTGGTTTGGCCAGGGGGGCCGGCGGCCAGCAGAACGGGGCATTGGTTTGGCCAGGGGGGCCGGCGGCCAGCAGAACGGGGCATTGGTTTGGCCAGGGGGGCCGGCGGCCAGCAGGACGGGGCTAGTGTCGGACAGCACCCCAAGAAACGCACCCCGGGTGCCTTTGAAACGCACCCCGGGGGGTCTTTGAAACGCACCCGGGGTGCCTTTCAAACGCACCCCGGGGTCTGTTTGAAACGCACCCCGGGGGGTCTTTGAAACGCACCCGGGGTGCCTTTCAAACGCACCCCGGGGTCTGTTTGAAACGCACCCCGGGGTGCGTTTGAAAGACACCCCCTCTCCGTCGGGGGTGCATTAATAGTGTCCCCGGGTGCCTTTGAACGCACCCCGGGGTGCCTTTCGGGGTGCGTTTGGGGGTGTGTTTTGGGGTGCGTTTCGGCCCCACAGGTGGTAAAGAATCGCAAGGCAAGCCGATAAATAAAAGTTTTTTTGGCATAGAAATATTAGAGATATGTTTTACTATGTTTTCTATACAGAATTGATGCCATCCGACGGCTCCGCTTTCAGTAAGATATATTTGATAGGCTGTGTTGTAGTTTTACACGATTTATGGTACGATTTTCACACTTTATCGGGGCTTAAAATGTTTTTACTCATGCTTTTGTCAAAAATTATGGAAATTATTGACGTGATTTTCAGAAATGGAACAGATAACAATTAATAGGATGTAACTGGAGTATGAAATAAGGTAAGAATAGCATATTGAAGGGTTTTATAAGGTTTTATAAGGGTTCTGTAATATTTCTATGCCAAAAAAACTTTTATTTATCGGCTTTCCTTGCTATGCTTTGCCGCCTGTGGGGCCGAAACGCACCCCAAAACACACCCCCAAACGCACCCCGAAAGGCACCCCGGGGTGCGTTCAAAGGCACCCGGGGACACTATTAATGCACCCCCGACGGAGAGGGGTGCCCTTTAAACGCACCCCGGGGTGCGTTTCAAACCAGACCCCGGGGTGCGTTGAAAGGCACCCCGGGTGCGTTTCAAAGACCCCCCGGGGTGCGTTTCAAAGGCACCCGGGGTGCGTTTCTTGTGGTGCTGTCCGACACTAGACGGGGCATTGCTTATTTTCTCAAAAAAAACGTATTTTTATGGTCTCTCGCCTATTTTTTCTCTGATTATATTTTTTTTGGATTTACAGAAGTGTTTGTCAACCAGGCCGAACGTTTCTAACTAGGGAAGTCCAAAATACCCCGCAACACGGATCGGGCTGAGAATTTGTACATTTATAGATGCGACCACGCTGATAATCGCCTCGATTCCCGAATCTGCTACAGAGCCTGAAAATTTGAGATATTAAAGTTTTGGTGTCATTTTTGGGGCCCCGGAAAAGGGTTTGTCAGGATATCGAACTTTTTTGTCTGTATTTGTCTAGTTATTTGAAGTAGCCTAACCGATAGAGATTTTTTCTGATTTTTTCTGATTGATTGGTATATTTCGTTAATACACGAAGGCCTATGCGCTATCCTAAGCTGCTTCAATTAGGCTGTTTTCTACCATTTCCATAGTAAATTCGGAGTCCATACCAAGTATCGTCGATTATTTCTTTAATCTATCATCACTGAAAAAAATAGGCGAGAGACCATAAAAATACGTTTTTTTTTTGAGAAAATATGCAATGCCCCGTCCTGCTGGCCGCCGGCCCCCCTGGCCAAACCAATGCCCCGTTCTGCTGGCCGCCGGCCCCCTGGCCAAACCAATGCCCCGTTCTGCTGGCCGCGGGCCCCTTCGGCCAAACCAATGCCCCGTTCTGCTGGCCGCCGGCCCCCTGGCCAAACCAATGCCCCGTTCTGCTGGCCGCCGGCCCCCCTGGCCAAACCAATGCCCCGTTCTGCTGGCCGCCGGCCCCCCTGGCCAAACCAATGCCCCGTCCTGCTGGCCGCCGGCCCCCCTGGCCAAACCAATGCCCCGTTCTGCTGGCCGCCGGCCGCGGGGACTTGGCAATGCCCCGTTCTGCTGGCTATGCCCCGTTCTGCTGTCATTGCCACGTTCTGCTGGCTTTGCCCCGTTCTGCTGTCATTGCCCCGTTCTGTTGCCAATGCCCCGTTCTGTTGTCAATGCCCCGTTCTGTTGTCATTGCCCCGTGCTATCGGTACAGAGCCGACATTTTTTTGAATGATTGAGTTTTTCGCAAGATCTCGCGCCATTTCCCGTTCAGTAGCTCTAGAATTTGCAATTTAGCGTGGCCCATCAATTCCGCGATCCTCTCCTTCCTTGCTTTTGATTTCCTGAATTACGCTGCTCGTCTTGCACAAGGAAATTTGTGAATAAGGCTTCCTTTGAAGGATTGAGTGTTCACTTGTAGCCTCTCGCCCTGTTCGACTCCTTGAACGTTTGATTTTAGCCAAACTGGCAATTCCGCGGGCATCGCCTCCTTTGCTTTTTATTTTCTGACTTATGCTTCTCGTTTTGCACCGGAAAATTTTTGAATAAGGCTTTCTTTGAAGGATTGAGTTTTGAGTTGTATTTTACGCCATTTTCCGCGCAAACGGCAGGAATGTTCATTTTGTTTCCTCAACTCACGGCTTTTTTGCATTTTCCGATTTTTGGTGCATTTGCACGTACTGTTCTCCGCTCTTTGGCATCCCAGCTATATTCAAGCGATTTTCCCCAAAGCCTTATCTCCTTCTTTCCAACAAAATGACGGGAATATCGCCATTTTTGGGCCAAATCAGACGGGGGCTGCTGCTACCCAGAAAATGCCGCGAATCACAGAATACAGCCCAGCTAGCTCTATAAATTCTCAAATCAGTCGTTTGTATTCCAGATTGTCAATTTCTATAATAATTTTCGATTTGTCAGGTATGATGGAGGAGAACAGCTCGGAAAACTCTTCCCTCAACGATTCTCAGCCCACCACGAAATGCCACGACAATAGTCTCGCCGATTTTCGCAAATATCAGGTACGACAATTCTTTTTGAAGCAGATTTTCCTTTTTTAGATCGTTCTCCTCGTTTTGACACAATTGGGATACGTTTCGATTGCGGCCTGTCTTCTGGTGGCCTCAGTTTTTAGCGCGCCTACGGTAAAAGTGACTTTTGGTTACAAATTGTTACATTTTTGTAGGGTTATTGCGAGCAGAACAGGACAATCGAACAAATCGACATAGACTTCCACTCGTTGCTCATCGAATGGGATATGGCTTGTATCACTTACAAGTATGTTTTCGAGTTTCCTTGGACAGAAAAGTTTTTTTGGCCTAGGAAACTTATTTTTCACTTTTTCTCTTAGAAAACGTACTTCCTCAGATTTTTTGCGCCCAAAACTGCTTATTGGCAAATGTGTTGCTGGCAAAGTCTTTTCTCACGCGTTTTTTACCTAGAAAACATATTTTTACATAGAAAACTCGCTTTTTCAGCTATTTGGGCCTAAAAGCTTATTTTTCAGAGTCCGAGACACCGTAGCGAGCGTGATCATGTTTGGCGGGCTCGCCGGCGCCTTTCTGTGTGGATATCTGGCTGATGCGTATGGCAGAAGACCCACTATGTTAGGTAAGAAAAGCTCAAGTTCTCTAAAAAACTATATTTCTTGTTTTAGGCTGTCTACTAACGATCGCCCTGGGTTGTCTGGCTGTCAGTCTAATCGGCGGTCTCAACTGGCTGTTCACCACCTTCCTCCTCGGCATTTTGGGCGCGGCTTGTGGTGGATATATGGTAAAATCAGTTTCTGATGATTTTAGCGATTTTTGACACTTTTTAGGTAGTGAATTTGACGCTTGTCGTGGAGTTTCTCTGTACGTCTCGAAGTCGTTTACTAGTTGTGTCAGGTATAGATTGTTTTTAGTTGTCATACGTACTTATGTACGCTCTTAATCGTACTGACGTACGTACTTACATAAATAGTACAAATATGTACTATTTCTTTGCAGTAAATGGCTGGCCAATGGGAATGACAGCTGTGGCAGCCCTGTATCGATATTCTGGCCACTGGAGACCTTATTTCTACTTCACCACTGCCTTCACGACAATTATCTTCATTTTGCTGGTCAGTTGCCAATTACATGTCGTAATCAATTGTGTATTTTCAGTACTGGTGGTCACTCGAATCAGTGAGATGGTTGGCATCGAAGAATCGAGTGAAACAAGCTGTAGCCATTGCCGAGAAGGTCATCGATGTCAATGGTTTCTTAACTGGCTCTAGCTCTACTCAAAACCACTTTTTAGGGGATTCCCACGGCTCTCAATTCCTTCTGCACGTGGCCAGCCGAGGAACATCACACGAATCGAATGAACCATCACGACACTATCGATACACGGATCTGTTGAGGTGGATAATTAGCGAATTCCTACGTGTGCCACGGGCTCGTCTTTTAATGGAAATTCGGCGAATTGACTGGAGATTTCCAAAAACTCAATCCTCGGATTTTCACCGTCCTGTGGTGAAAATTATCCTTTCGATACCGGGATGACCCAGAATGTTATAACCGAAGGGCGCTTGCAGTTTTTAGTAGCGTTTTGGAACATTTTAGAAAAAAATAGTTTCACCCGAGCTGCCCTCAAAAGTCAATCCTTCGATTAGGTCGATTTAGGATTGAAACTTAGCATCACGTAGCCGTTGTGACCCAGAATATCATAACCGATGAGCGATTGCTGTTCAGATTGAAATTTTTAGGAGGCTTCGGAAAATTTCAGGTTTTCACCCTAGCTGTGGTGAAAACTGAATCCTTGAATTTTGATGATTTTGGCGTGAAACTTATCCTCTCGTAACCAGTATAAACCAGAATAGCATAACTCAAGTTCTATTTAGTTTTTAGTAGCGTTTCGGAATAATTTTTGGAAAATTTTAGTTTTCGGGCTGACTTTGGTAAAAACTCAATCCCGGGGTTTTCCATATTTTCCCTTTAGGCAATTATCAGCACGAGCAATGTGAAACAGAATATAAAATTCCAAAAGCTGTTGCCTTTACTCTTGCAAAAAAAACTACAAAACTAATGTTTTCTTTCAGATACACGAGCATCCGCCGCCCACTCCTGGCTCTAACGTACTGTTTCGTGGCCTCATCCATCGTCTCATTCGGCTACTACTTCTTTGTTGATGTCATCCCGGGCAATAGGATCACCAATCTCGGCGCTATGGGATTGTTAAAGGTATTTTTCGACCAATTTATGATTTATATATTTTTTTTAGCTGTTCTGCGGCCTGATCCCATTCATGCTGTCATTCATCGGTCGTCGTCCAATGGTTCTCGTCTCTCTCGGGGTCGCCTGTGTCTCGAGCTACACCATTTTAATACTGTAGGTTTTTCTTTGTTGTTTTACCATTTATTTTTCCAGCTACTACGCGGGTCTCTCGACAACGTGCTGGCTGTACGGTATGCTGTCCATCATTGCCGCTGCTGCTATCGATCCGGCGTGGAAGGTAGATTTTAAAATTTATTTAAATAATATTTTATTTAGGTGAATCATCTCTACTCGACGGAACTCTTCCCAACTAGCGTCAGATCAATGGCCCGTGCTGTCTGTAACATTGGAGGGCGGCTGGGCAGTGTTGTCGCGCCTTGGGTAAGGGTTTTTGGAAAACTCAATGCTTCAAATTTTTCGAAAATCCAGTTAGCATTGCGCCATTTAATTCTCTGTCATACAGTATCCAACCCTTCCTTTGCAGATAGCCGGCCTGAGCAGCGTGTGGTTTCTGGCGCCGTACCTCGTGTTCACGGCGTTCGTCTCAGTGCAGTGGATCGTGACTCTTTGTTGTCTACCCGAAACGAGAGACAGGCCATTGGTTGAGGGAATTATTGAAGAGGAAACGGAACAGAACAAACAACATCAATACGAGTGTCGTCCAGTTACCGAGAAGCTCACAAAATGCTGATTTTAACGTTTTTTTGCAACTATTCTTATAAGAATTTCTGTGAATTGTTAGCCTGCAAGGTATTTCTGTGATTTTGCACGTCTTTAATTTATTTTGTAAATCCTAGAAATTTCTTGGTTTGTTTTCCAGCGTATCTCATTTTCTAGGTCTCCCCCTCCCGGTTCCGATACATTCCGCATACTTTAATCCTTCGCTTTTTATTCTTTTTTTTTGTGCGTTTTTATCTAACTCTCAGCTTCCATTCACTTCCTAATTCTTGATTTGTTACTTTTTTAGCTTGCTTTTCTATATTCCCCATGTTCCTTCACTCTTTCTGCCTGCCTGCCCTGCTTCTCTCTCTTTTTTCCTTCTCTTCGATGCATCCACTGTCACTGGTCGTCATATCTTTCTCAGCGTCGATATTTCGCATCATGTCACAGCGAATAAAGCGGTTTTCTAGGTTTTCTTCGGCGCTGGAATTCCAGAAATCATTCTCATAAATGTCTTCTTTGGAGAACAAGCCGTAGATAGCGTCTTGAGTTTAACAGTTTATCGACAATTTCAGGGATTGAGTTTTTATAGCTGCGGGCTAACTTTCTGAAGTCGAGCGCGTATTGGGGGGCTTTCAGTGCTAAAATTTTTTTTTCAAGTCCATATGCACCTTCTTTGAAGAACAAACAGTCGCTAGCTGCGCGAATTGAACAAAGTATCGATAATTTCAAGGATTGAGCTTTTTGGGCTGTGGAGACTTCTTGCAATCTATGCTGATGGGCCTTTTCTTGCGCGTCACGTCTCGCGTTTCTAAAATATCCTTAGCGAAGCCTTATTTGGAAGAAATTAACTCGTTTAATTCATAACCTGTTCAGTTTATCATTACTTTTAAGGATTGAGTTTTGGGGCGCTTCCCACCAATTTCGTCTGGCGCGTAGTATCTGGCCGTATCTGGGTTTGGTTCTGTTCTATTTCGCGGGGGGAAAAAACTGTGCGGGGGGGAAATTTTCTTCGGTTTGTTATAACTCTTTTGTATGATGCTATTTTGAGTTGTAATCCAAACTCTTAGTATATTTTTTGACGCTCTATCGAATGGCATTCAAGAAATTTTTGAAAGTTATCGAAAATGTCGAAAACTAGCTTTCGACTCCACGATCCCATGTGGAAACACCGTATAAACCTTGTTTTTGCTATAACTATTTTATAAAACAATATTTTAAGATGAAATTAATACTCTGAGTATATTTTTTCATGCTTTATCGAATGACAGGTTCAAAATATCGAAAAAATGGCGAAAATGCCAAAAGCTAACATTCCGGAACCAGTTTCAATAGTTTTTTTGTTTTTGCTATAACTTTTTTATATTACAATATTTTTAGCTAAAACAAAAACTCTTAGTATATTTTTTGATGCTCTATCGAATGGCGTTGCAAAAATCCCGAGAAAATAGCGAAAAGATGGAAAAATCCGCGAAGCATATTTCCCCCCGCACAGTTTTTTCCCCCCCGCGAAATAGAACAGAACCCTGGGTTTTTTTTGGGTAAATCATCCCCACTAAATTGTTTTTTGTAATGCGTAATACCAAATTAGATATATGGGTTTCAAGGTTTAACTCCAAGGTTTCAAGGATTGATTTTTTTGGTGTTGATACCTGAGAACCTTTGGGGTCACGCTGCACCGGTTTCCCCCAGAAGACATCAAAGTGCAAAGATCTGGGACCAGCTAGATAGATGTGAAGATGATGACGTGTGGGTAGTCAGGAGGTGAGCTCCAAATAGAGAGAGAAGGAGAAAGAGCTGAAACATTGGTCCCTGGAGATGTTGTGAGGAGGTCTCTTCTATCCCTTCACCTTCCATCTTCTGTCCCTCGCTAGAGAAAAGTTGCTAGGATTATTCTCTGTTTTCCAGATGACAATCGCAAATCTTTTTATCTGAAACTCATTCATAATTTACAGTATATAATGGCCAAAAAGGAATAATAATACTCGATTTTTCAAAAAGGACCTCGGGACGGGGAATACTTATTTTAGAATCGACTGACTCAAGCCGTCCAAAAATGGGGCAACAGATCAAATGAGAATTGGGGAAACCCGTGTTGGAATGACGACAAGAATATCTGAAGGGGAAGGGAGGGAGATGATCAACGGGGGGAATATGTTCAGGAGGTTCAGCTTCGATTGGGGGCGATTCATACAAAAGGCTTTTCATTGGTATGTATGTAGACAGTCCATGTGGGTCTATGCGTCTTCTTTTGGCACCTCGTTGGTTGGCGGGTCTGAAAATTCATGAGGGAGGTTTAGGTGGATACTGAAAAAGATTATTATTTTTGTTTTTAGATTTTTTAACGGATTTTGGAGGGTTGAGTTTTCGGTACCTTTTTGGTGGAGATCGGAAATGATTGTTTTTCTGTTTTTCACATTTCGGGCGTCATTTTGGAGGACTGAGTTTTCGAAAGTTTTGACGTGGATGCCGCAAAAACAATTATTTTAGCTTTGAGGTTTATCGAATCTTTTTCGAGAATTTGGTTTTTGCTAGTTTTTAGCTGGATATCTACCATCAGCTTTTGGGGCCTTTTTACAGTACTGCCTAATTTTTGGAGGATTGAGTTTTTCATAGCCCATTTTTTTTAAATGGTCTGCTAATCTTTTTTTTAGAAACGGAAATTTCATCCAAATCCATATTTTTCAATTTTTTTTCCGAAATTGTTGCTTTTATACTTGTTGCTGATGGGTGATCTCTACCGCCTCCGTAATGATACCTCCACACCCCGTGTAAGCCTCAATTTCGCAGCTTTACTGCCCACTGAACCGTTTGTCGACCAGTTTGTCTGCTCTGTAGTCTTTTTGTATCGAAAATAGCCCCCCTGACACCGTTCCCCCAACCATAAAGCCTATTTGCATAGAGTTGACCGGCAACGGGTGTTTGATCACTATCCTGTCAGTCAGTTTATCTATCTGTCTGTCCATCGTGCAAGATTCGCCGTTGAAAACAGGAAAAGCTGTCAGCTGGCCATCTGACGCTCGAGCTGCACGGGGCGCTGTTTGATCCGGATTAGTTGTGAAATTTTTCCGCGCGACCAATTAGGCAAAATGTGACAAAGTTTAAACTGCGAATTGGAGGGCAGTTTAAACGACACCTCTAATTCTTTTTCCGTAAACCGGTTTTATAGGGACTTACAAGGCAAACTGTCAAAAGGTGGACCCATTCCCTTAGTAAAACTCGAAAGCCGTTAATTTCCGGCCAAATTGCTTGAAATTTGGGATATATTGGGTGGCAGTTAAAGCGATACCCCACTGAATACCGTCGTAATCATTTTTTCAAGAGCCAGTGAAGGCAAACTGGCAGATACGGAATCCATTTCCCGACTATAACTCAAAAACCACCAATTCTCCCCGATTTTCGGGGTGTTCCATCCAAACAACCCGATTCTCAATTGAGAGCTGGAACGGCAGTTGGATATTAATTGATCGACAATTCATCATGACCACTCCCTTTTGGATTGTTCTCCATTCGAACTGGATGGAAATGGAAGGGGAAGGAGAGCACCACGTGGATGGATATCTATCAACCAACCGGAAACTGTGATCGGGATGATCATCTGTCTCTGCCTAGATATGAATTAATTCGCACAGGGAGAAACATTCGGGGCTAAAGGTCGAAATGCCGGATTTGGTCGTTTTGATTGGTAAACTGTCGAGAACGGGAAATTCTGCTCGATAAAAACTCAATCCTTGGAACTGTGGCTTTCCACTTCCAAAATGACGTCAATTCGCGGGCTACCAGCCAAGTAGATGGAACAAAAACTCAATCGTTGAAATGCCGATTTAGACCCTCGTAACGACGTCAAGCTACGCTTTACCAGTCAGCTGGCAGCGACCAAAAACTCAATCCTTCAAATTTAGAGCTAGAAAAATTCTAAGGGCGTTGAATTAAAGCCTAGGCGCCAAATGGGATTTTCTAGTGACGTTTCGTCGGAAAAATTGGATTTCTGGATGCCAATTTCGTATTTTCGCGCATCTCCCCTGGCCGCCCCGGTAATAATCGAGTCAGTCTCCCTAAATGGCACCCATCAGATAGATTGCCGGCGGGGGTTATTTTGTTTTGTTGGATATCCATTCTGTCTCTCTCCGTCTCTCTCTCTCACTCTCTCTTCAAGGAAATGCTTCCCGATTCATAATCCGTATTTTCGGGGTGGATATCCCTTCTGGGAGGATATCTGCCATTCGCTGTGGGTCTCAAAATAGCTCTCCATCTGAGGAGCAAGAGAAAGGGGATGGGGCTACGGCCGGCTGCTCATTACGGCTATTGCCATCCAGAAGGGAAGCCGGATGAGAGGAATGGACCCCAGAAAGGGACATTCTCAATTCCAACGCCAAAAACATCCCCGTTGGTTGACAGAAATGGGATTTTGATGACACTGGTGTCTTGGCAAACAGCCAGATCATCTAAATCTATTTGATTCCTCTTTTCTGAACTGCTAAGAGATGCCAATAAACCCAATTCAATCCGCTTCTCCTGCTCCTTTCCGACACTCATGCTCATTTTGGCCCCCAGAGCCGGTTCTCGATTTTTGGACGTCGTGGGGGAAAGTGGCGGCGAGAAATGGGGGGGTAGAAGGCGTTTCCCAGGGAATTCGAGATGAGTGCATTCCAAAATGGGTTCCCCTCCACCCAGAATGGCCCCAGAAATTGGAAATCGCGAGAATGAATTCGCAAGATTTCCCGCCAGAAAGCTCCCCAGCTAGCCGGATTTCCAAAGAACCGCTCCACGACTTCCGGTTTTTGCGAATAATTTATTGGGGCTTCATCTCGGCTTTTTCGGAGCCAGAGATCCCCGGAAGGAGACCAATTTCCAGGTGCCGGGCCCTAATCTTCACCTTTTATGCCAGAAAAAAATGGGATTTCCGGGCTGAAGAACGGGGGATTGCAGGGAATGAAGGGGAAGAGGGTTTTGCCGGTGGATCCCCCAGGAGACAATAGAATTTACGAGGGGAAGGCAGACAAAGGGAAGAGAAGGACAAACCATGTT